ACATAGTGAGGAGACATCAAAATGTGTTGAAGAAAGTATCTCAATTTGACTATGATATGATGATGGGGATGATAGCAAAGTTTTATCTGTCTGTCCGTCGGGGAGATCATTAAGGAATATGAAAGAATTAAAGAATTACGGCAATATATTTAGTTGAAATTTCGCATGAAGTCACAGCTTTGTACATCTTCTACATGCCGTACTTTTTCTTTCACGTGCCACAGAAAGACCACCATCTTGAAGTTTAATACCTATTATCTAAGCCATTTCTTTTGAAATTGAAGCAAAAAACTGAGTATTAAACTTTTCTTTTTTTACCAAAGCATCATCTCTATTAATTAATTTTTGTTTTCCAGCTCGCATTCACGATTCTAATTTGATAAACCGAATTAAATAATAAAAAGATCCAATGAGACAATGTTATACACCTCCGTCGATACATCTGTCTGTGCTTCTTTAACTGTAGTTTTGTAGTTCTATCTAACATATAAATTGTTACAGGTTAAGTGAAGATTTAGAGATAATTTTTCGTTTGCCAAATTTATTTAATGTTCTAGTAGGCTCATTGGAAATATGCGCTCTAGGATTCAATCTCACGGTAGTATATAATTTCAATATAACTACTTGTACTCGTACTTTAACGCTATTAAATTTCCACATCGCAAAATAAGCAAATGAAACCCTTTATGTAAATTGTTATGATTATAAAGTTAATTATTATTTACATTAAATAAAAATAATAAATCTTTTGAGTAATCTGAATAATAAATCTCTGTTCCATCTATGGAGAACGCTTGTATCTGTGCAATGAAGACATTGATAGTTTAATAATAATGATGATGAAGTAAAATGAAAATTGATCTTTGTTTGTTATTATATAATCAACTACATTTGGATTAATGTCACACACAAAGTTTATACACCGTTAATAATGTCTCCTATGAATTTAATGAAATAAAAAATCAACGCTGATATTTTGTAAAAGAAATGTGTTCTTTCAAACGCGAAGCGGAATTCTGACAGAAAATCTTCAGACTTGGCTTCTGAAGTTGCTCATTAAGTCCTTCTGGCAATCTTGGAATAAAATGTACTATAATGTATAGTTCTTTTACTTTGTACAATCACTGACTTTGAAATGTCATTCTTATAGATGGGTAACTGGACGCAATTCCCTGGCTGTTTCTTATTTTTAGTATCTGTTTTACTTCAGATATTATTAATGAGTGTTTATGGCGAAAACCTCATTCATGAGGTAAAAATATGTGTTCAATTTTGATTTTTATGTACCATAAATTATCTTATTTTATTAATAAAACCTTTTAATTTCAGAGCAGGAAAATTGGTGAAGCAGCGTATCTTAGCGAATGGTATAACATGGATGAGAATTCCAAAAAGTTTTTACTCATTATTATGAAAAGGTATGTAAACCAATAATATTACAAAATGTAATGCGTGTCAAAATGTTATTTTAGTAAAAAAAAATTACCAAATAAATTTATAGGTATGTATATATTTATTTTTAAGCTTATATTTGTGTTCGTCGAATCCTGCAACTGGATTACAAAACAGTTATCCCCAACTGATTAAATTTTGTATACCGGTTTATCGTATTTTGAACATAAACAAAATAAAAATAGATTTAGTTTAGATGACAATGCATTTTAGTAATAATATTTTTAAACTCACACGATTTGTATACATTATAATTATATGCAATCGGGTCTTGTTCGTGCATTTTTTAAAACAATTAATTTACCTCGACGTTTCGGCTACGTTACAGCAGCCGAAACGTCGACGTAAATTAATTGTTTTAAAAAATGCACGAACAAGACCCGATTGCATATAATTATAATGCATTTTAGCTTAGTTTCATTTTAAATTTCATTTTAAAGCGACATTGTTACTTCTTGTTAGTTGAAGATTTCATTTCTATCATTTATTTGAACTAATAGATAGAATAATTATACCGTTAACCGAGTAAAAACTCTTTTTCAGATCACACAAACATCAAAAGCTGACAGCATATAATTTTTCAACAATTTCCAACCAAAGCTTTACCAAGGTATTTCATTGATTAAATAATGTAATAAGTAATAATGTATTTTGAAAGGATTTCATTTCAAAATATTTTTGAACATTTTAAAAAACTCTTAATGCAATTTAATGAATTATGTATTTATGTAGTTAAACAGCAGAAGTTCCTTATTCACGGGGAATAAGTTCCGTAAATATGTCACGAATATGAGATGGTATTTATTAAGAAATTGTTAGGTATACATTCCAAGGGTTAAAAATAAGAACAATTATGGTCAAATAAAATATAATCATTATAATCCATTTTTAAGTTTTATATATATGTTTTTAAAGAACTGTGCAGTTTTTAAATCATCTTTAAATTTGTATTTATAAGAGCTCTAAGCATTCTTAGTTGTAATGATTTTGTCTTTTTGTGTAAAATGTAAGTCTTTTTTGTGCATTTGGAAAAAGTCTTGAAAAAATAACAAAATTCATATGCCATACTTTAAGCTTCACCCATATTTAGAAGTCATCTTACCAGCAGTCGTTAGTCTTTTAGTCGAATACGCGAATGACGAAATCATAAATATGGAGCTTTTACTGTATTATAATTTCGAAACAATTATAATACAGTAAAAGCTCCATATGACCGCAGTTCGCAAAATTAAAATGCATAATGATATAATAGGAGTCACGTGTAAATTATCTTATGTTAAAAAATATTATTGTTGGTACCGACATGTGTTATTGGAGTAAATAAAAATAATGATTATTTATGTTCCAGATTATAAGTACTTCGTGGTCGTACTTTACCATTCTGAAAACAGCTTACAAGCCTGAAACATCGTCAGAATAAACTGTTACACTTTTATTAGTATTTTTTAGCTAGATGCTTCACCGTATTATAGTAGCAAGTTCTACAATAAACTGTTGCATTTTCATTAGTATTCTTTAGCTAGATAGTTAATGATATTATAATAGGTTCTACAACAAAATTAATAAGTGTAAATTTCACAACAATGCAAATAGTTAAAAAGAAAACACATATGGTATCATAACTTAAATAAAAATTTTCATATTTTTTATAGCTAATAATCAAAAATGAATGATTTTGCTAAAATTTTGTTTGTTTATTTGGTTGAATTCGCTAATCTCAGAACCCACTGGTGAAAAAAAGATTATGTATGAAAATGAACTATTGCATGGTTGTCCAGAAGGTCTATTTATTGAGAAATACAATAAAACATCGCGCTATTACTAAGTCGAACAGCAATAAAAACGGTTGCAAAAAAACTAATTTCTAAAATTGAAACCTGAAAGAAAATGCTACTTAATTAGCAAATGCATTTTAAATAAGTGAGACAATTAAATTATGAATTAATAATTTAACATAGAGCTACAAAATTTGATAAATATTAACTAGATGAAATTAATTTAAATGAGAACTTTCGTTATAAAATTAGACAACCCTTAAGGTGAATGACAAATGAAGATAGTGTTTTTGTTTGATGTGAACGTCTTTGATCGGCTAGTGTTAAAACAAAACAGCCGATGGCTCATTAAGAATGGATACTAAAGGGCATGTCAACATTTGAAATTCTACTGAAACAAATTAAAGTTAATTTATGGATTAAGAAGGAACTAAAATTTATATTCCATTTTTGTTATTGTTGGTTAACATCTTTTTTAAGATTCCTTGCCCAAAGGGTAAAACGGGAACCCTATTATTAAGACTTCACTGTCTATCTGTATGTCACCAGGCTGTATTTCATGAACCGTGAAAGTTGGACAATTGAAATTTTCACAGATGATGTATTTCTGTTGCCGCTTCAACAATAAATCTCAAAAACCAGAATAAAGTAGATATTTAAGGGGGTTCCCATACAAAAAACTTGATGCTCGTATTCGGTGCGGAACTCTACGTGCGCGAGTCCTACTCGCACTTGACAGTTTTTTATAATAGAAGACGCTGGATATATGTACCAAACCTTAGAAGCCCTCAAGACTGATTGAGTTGAAATTTAAAATGCGCCTTTCGTTTTCGTGGCAACACAGTTATAATAATCAGTATTGTTGTTATTTTAAAATAGCCACCGTAATAAAGTGACAACCCTGGGTAGGTAAGGATATCAAATGAAGAGGTTTAATTTAATAAGTAGAATACAATACACTATGATAAAATGACCAAGATGGCAGTCATCTTAAAATGTAAGGTTAAATATTTTTGTACAATCTTTGGGTATTTTTATATAACCTATCAAACTAGCAAAGATTGTTTTAAAAACGTTTGTAACTTGTTAACTATATTTATTTTGTATTGAACTAACGATAAAATGTACACTAATATTGTTTGAAGAAGTTAACTGACTCAGATATTTCGGTAAGTTTGCACAAAGTAGTCAACACTTCTCCTTGCAAAGTCCTATTTCAATATTTACACATATTGCCCAGTTGCGTGAACGCTTGGGAGAGAAAACTAAACTAATTCTAAATCACAAACACTAACTTTGAATCAATTCGTAAGTATAAGAAATAGATATAGTTATGAGGGAGAAGTTCTCTGGAGTATAGAAACTAACAAAAGATACGACAAAATTGTGAATCAGGTTGGAAAATTGTTAAGGACACTCGTCCTATATCTTAAGAGTAATGAATTTGTAGTAGTGAAGTTCTGAGGTTCGACACTCCTGTCGATAAGAAATTACTAGCTACTAGCTATGCAGACCCGCTGCACACACTATATCAAGATAAAATAAAATTTTTAAAATAGGGATTTTCACCTAAACGATTTCATTAACAGGTCAAGAGGACATGGCAATCATAATTTTAAGAACGGCCTATAAATCTCTTGAAAGGTTATGATTTGATTTGGCACAGCGCGATATTTTGAGCACAAATACATTTTCATATTACTCGGCTTGTTAGTTATATTGAAATAGAAAACAAACATCTTTATTAAAACGTTTTATTTCCTTTGAAGTGGTGGTTTTTTAAATGTTTATTAATTAATAAATAATTAAACGCATCAATGGCTGTTTCATATTCATTAATATTTAGTAAGGGTAGCGTCTTCTTGTATTTGCACGATATCTGCCAGATCTGAAACAATTTATGGAAAGTTTAGTTAGTAAAGGTATATGAATATAAAATAGACCTTTTCCCAGAGGAGTTTTAAACAATTGGCTGCAAAGTCTCTAGCATATTTATCAATCTTTCGTAATGGTAGAACAAAGACCTTATGTACTCAGAGATATTGTCTTTAGCTTCATTTAAATGTTTAATTGATAACTTTACAATTATTTTGATATTTTTAATATAAGATAAGTGTGTGTATATAGAAAATAACAACATTTTATGATAACATTATATCTAGTTTCTAACTAAGCACTCATAAAACAGCATCCTAATAAATAATATTATATTGTTTTGTCTCTGTTTGTTATATGCTAAAGTTATAGACTATTTAACTACTGTCTGCTTTTTCTGTTTTTGAAACCTTTACGTTCGGAACACACTTTCAATACTTGACCATATTTATATTATGGTACTGTCTATAGAAAATAATAGATTTTAATTAAGTTCGAGATACATTGCATTTCAACAGGTAAGAGTTTGAGTATTAAAAAAATTGCAATTTGCTCATTAAACATTTCGATATTATGCTTTTACTGACGAACCTTATTTGTGATGCTTATCTTACTAATGCCATGCATCCTGCCAAATCTCTTGCGTGATAGGCACTGGACGGATGGTCTTTACTAATTTTTAAAGCATCTCTGGATAATATGTAATAAATTTTATTATGAAAAATTCCTTCAATATTATTATTAATACTGACCCTGATTTATACAATTCTCCGTTGCCCATCCTGAGTCTATCACCGCGACAAGTGTTCAGGTTTATTTGCAAGATGTTTGAGCAACTTCTACCCTCCAAATGATTGTAGGATACAGTAGCGGCAAACACTCTCCAGGCACGGTTATGGGAGCAGATGCTAGTGGTGAAGCAGCCAGGTTGATTGTTACCTCCATTAGGGAAGAAATCTACGTCTCCGATGGAATAGCCGATACCAAGACTAATGGACAAGCCTCCATCAGTGTGTATGCCTTCTACGTAGATGGCATCATCTGATCTTACCTTGTTGGAGTTTAAGTTAAATAGAGGTCCAGCAGGATCCAACGCTGTAACAGAATTTGTAATTAGAGATAGGTGGATTTTTTAATTCTATATTACCATTTTAAGAAAACAATTTCTAATTTTGTTTTAGTAAAAACGTATTCAGTAAACTTAGTCTATAATTTGTTTTGAGCTATATACTACAAAATATTAGAAGCAGATAGATAATATTTAAGCAAAAGTGCTATTTAGTGACTAGATATAACAATATTGTTGTTGAAATGCTTGCTTTAAGAGTGCATTCTCATGTATAGTAGATATTAGGGTTTAGTCTTCCATTCTTTATAAAATTTTGAAATGCCAAATTGTAAGTTTTATTAGGTTTGCATGGGTAACAGATGTGAATTGTTTATTCCGTAACATGGAAAAAATTTAAATCGCGGAAATCTGATTACTGTTTATTACAATATCAGATTCATGGGCATGAACTGATAAATAACTGGCCAATCTTTTGATTTTGATATCTTATCTATTTTATTACGTCAATGAAAAACACAGGTGTTACATACAAATACTAAAATAATTCATCAATCTCATAAGATATTTCGCACGTTTTGAGTAATTTTCTATTATATAAATATAGCATTGTGAATGCACAAGGACATTTAATTTTATGCATACCAGTGATACGAGCTACTTTTCCACCAAGTTCCCTGCCGGCGTTACCGACGAGATGAGCTCCTAAACTGAAGCCAACCAAGTGTACAGTGTCCAAACCAATGCCGGTGACGGAAGACAGGAAAGCCAAGAAACGACCCAAATTACGGCCCACCTCTGGGACCCCACCAGCAGAAGTTATGTAGTTACGCATAGCCAAAGGCCTCCAGTCAAGAACGATGACGTTATAACTGCCCACATTGAAGAAAGCTGGAGAAGAAAATATAACGATTGAAGTAAAACATATAGTCAATCCAATCATCTAAGTTAAGTCAGCTACTTTTCACTTATTCAAAGAATTGGTTACTACGGTGTTTTAAGAGTATCAGCGTGTTAATATTCTGGTCATGAAAACGCACTACTTTTGCTTTAGTTCCAAAATATTATAATTTCGGGCTCCTACACATTTCGAAAGACACGAGTAGCTCGGTCCTACTGCGTTTGCATGCGTCAACACTCATCTACGTAATAGGTCTGCGTGGTTTGTTTTTACCGTACTGTACCTATAATCATCAAATAAGCTACTACTTTTGCGGTAATCTTGTACTTGTAGATTGATACGCAAATAATTATACTAAAAGAATATTTACCATCCCTAATGGCAGGGTTTAGACCACTCTCTTGGTTGCTGAGCCATCCGTGGGCTATGACCACAGTGTTATCTTTAGAGTTGAAGTTCGAGTTTTTAATAGACTCGGCGTCATCTTTGAACAGTTGCTGGGGGTTGTCGGGATTACTCCTGTAGATTATTAATTATTATTTAATTAATTGATAGTATTGATAATTGAATTTTAGTTCGTGAAAAACTATTTTTTACATTACCGTGTAGTAACTGACACATGAACATATCAGGTATTTCAAGGGGTTTACCATTTTACTTTAATAGAACTTCTGGTTAATGTTGATTTTCCCTCTCATGAATAATACTTATACAACTTATATTTTTATTCCAGTAAAACAATCTTACATTACACACATTACACCTTAAAATCAGAATTCAACGCAAGTTCCAACGACCCGCATAAAGGTGCTTTCAAAAAATTAATATTTTCTAATAATGTTTTAAGTACATCTGCAAGTAAGATTAAGCACCAGCGACATTTGAATTTTTATGATAATTTTTATAAGATAATTAACAATACTTACAGCAATTATGAGTGCAATGTCTAATAAATTAGAATGCATTTAGATTTCAAACGGAAGTAAAAATAATTTTTGTTAGGTATAGTCAGCAACATGTCAGTTTTGTATAAAAACTGTCAAATTTTCCCGCACGGTTTTAAACCCATTGAAGGTAGAGGTGCAAATTTGATGTATTGTGATAATATGACATGCAGTCGTGTTTACATTTCCTAAATGTTTATAAAAATACACTTCGAAACTCTTTAACAATTATTAAATTATTTATTTCAATTGTTCAATCATCTATTCTATTCTGTTCAATCATTCTAAATATAAAATCAGCCTAGAACGCAATAAAATACACTTATCGTACTTTCAAGTAGGTTATAGCGTACAGCGCTGTCAAGTTTAACGTTAGTTTTATTATAGGACAGCACTGCCTAATAACTACTTACCTAGTGAACAAAAAGTAGCCGTTGATGTCATTGTCCCGTGTAATGCTATTCAAAAATTCTACATCAGGTTCTTCTTCTAAGTCGATGGTGTTTTTAACACCATTTTCATCGATGAACTCGATGTAACGTTCGTACGGCACTTCGGGTTCGTCATCATATACCAACGGCACAGCCGATACCGAGAATACTGAAAGGGAATAATTTACAAAAATATTTACACGTTTCATTTCACACTTTGTAATATAACAGGCATTTCATAATCCTTGTCCCTACATAATATTTTTTACTGTTTGTCTTTGTATCTTAAATTAAAGAAAAATGCGTTTCTTTAAAGTCGTTTTAGTATTTTGAAAAAAAAAATGTTTTCAGAGGACTGTAGATTAATTTTTGCTTATTTGTCCGTCAGGCAGATTGTTGAAAAATATTAAACAGTTATTTCTTTCGTGATAATTAAATTGCGGTGATACATTAAAATATCACATTACGTCAGGCTTCGGTACATTTTCTACAAAACTGTGACGTAGCGAGCCCCCACTCCTCAACTTTAATGCCTGTTATCTAAGCCATTTTTTGTTAAATTAAAGTTTAAAAAAATACGTATCTAAAATTTTTCTATTATCTGACTGATGGACAAAATAGAATTTCTTTTTATTTACCCATTCGTCATCCCTTTTGTTTCCTACCCAATTTTATAATAATATAAAAAGTGAAGCGTAATTATGTTAAATAGGATTGCGTAAGCCAGTGACTAATATAAAAATCTATTGTTTCTGAATTGACGACACAGTAGTTACTCAAAGTCTTCTGGATCTGGCGATGTAGGAGGTTAAGTGACCTTCAGACGAGTTTCATGGGTTTGCCAAACATGGGTTTATCAAAACCCATTTATCCCCACTGAATCCACATGGCGGGATTATGAGCTATTGGTGTTTCTTGAGTTTCTCACTACGCGACGCATATGCTCGTAAGCTAGTTATATAAAGTGGTAACAAATCCAAGAACATCCGAGGATAATCCTACTATTATTATAAAAATCGAAAGTTTTCTTGTATGTTTGTAACTCTTTCACACAAAAACTACTGAACAAATTTTGATGAAATTTAGTAAACGGATAATTTTAAGCCTGAATTAATATATAGGCTATTTTTTATGCCACTAAACGGCTCCACGCGGAAAGCTAAACATCAAAATAATAATTTACTTACCGGCCAAAGCCGCAACAAAGAACAATGACAATTTCATTGTTTACTGCCTATGGTCTATTAGCCACTTAACGTCGATTAATATTACGCCTATATTTATAAGAATTTTGGCCTGCAGAAAAGATAAACAATTCTAATCTTAATTTTAGATCTGATGGGCGATACGATATTTGTGTAAGAGATTTATATTAATAACATTCATAAGAAGCTTAGCAACTTTAATCGGAGAAAGATTATTAGAACATAATCAATATTTATATTTTATTGGAATAGTAGCTTTCCGCCAGCGATTTCGCTTACATGTTCCGCTAAATTGTTTAGTTGGATAAAAAATAGCCTATCAGTGCTACTTATAAACAAGGTTAAGCGTCAGAGTAAATTAACGCTAAAATTGCAATTTTAGTATTAGTCCGTATTCATATTACACAGAGAATAAGCAAATCTACAACCTTCTAGGAGCAAATATTACTCCTGTAGAACCTCGCACTAGGTTAACCTTTGTTAAGTCTCTGTTTAATAATATAAATTTTGATTAATACGAAGAGCAGTCTCAGTGTAAATTTACTCAAACGCTTAACCTTGTTTATAAGTAGCACTGTATATGTTAATCCAAATTAAGCATTATCTAAATACCAAATTTCATCTAAATCGTCCTGTATTTTTTGCGTGTAGAACTAACACTCAAATCTACAAATTATCATATAAGTTTTTATTTTTAGATAAATAATAATGAGGAACTCGATAGCGCAGTGATTAGCGTGTTTGGTGTACGATGTGGAATTTAAGTAACTTTCGTAAGGGCCGATTGTAGGATTAGAGGATGAGTGACCAAAAATTGATCATTCTGAGCTCCTCCGTGCTACAGAAGGCACGTTAGGCAGTTGGTTCCGGCTGCATCTGCAGTTATTAAAATCCACCAATCCGTACTGGGCCTGCTTGGTGGGTCATTAGCCATTCTCCCTTTACGATTTCATTGGATTCCATCCATAGGGACCTTCCCTCGATTTTAAACGGAACAAAAAAAAGGTATAAATAAATTAGGTTTATTTATTTTGTTTAATACATTTATTTATTTTGATTTATTAATCACCATTAATTTCAAAGTGACAGTTATAAATACAATAACATCTTTAGATAGTGACGCCGTTGTCAAGACATCGATAAACAAAATCCGCTGGCTTAATGCCAAACAATAAATCGCTTACTGAGGATTTTAATAAGCTCAACACATTTATTGGAAATACTTATGTTTGTTAATTCTTATTCATATCAAAATCATGGTGGAATACATGCACGACCAAGCTTACCGCTTGTAATCCTGAAGCGTGCTTAAAAGAGCGTCATGCAGAATTGATGTTATTATGCTTTTTTTTTTCTTTCAACAAATGCTAGTACGGAGAGCCGGCTATAGCCAGGCCAAGTTAGTCCGTTCGCTGTGTACTGCTGCAGGTGTATGTCATCGATGTGATGAATCTCCTGACTATAGAGCAAGTGTCGATGATAAATTGATCTCTGTTGTGAATTGACGTCTTTTTCTGTAGGTCTATTTCTTTTAGCCCAATGCAGAAGTCTGCAGCGGGCTATAAGATTGCTGTCAAGATGGGGTCCCGTACGCGCTACTAGTAATGATCCTAGTGACATAGCTACTATTTCCTTATTTTTTTAATACCCGAGTGTCCTAAATAAATCACATATCTGTATTTTGTTCTTTTCTATGTTCTAGAGGTTTAAACATTTACTATAGCGTTTCATTCAGTTCAAAACAATATCTTCTATCTCTTTCTATAACATTTTATTTATCGTACTTTTCCCGTTTTGTGTGATTATTTTTCATATTTTTGTAGACCAATCCAGCTTATGTTTAAGAAATAATCGCATCTCAATAGTACCTCAAGTACTTCCATTTTGCCATTGTACTATATAAATGAAATGCAATATTTTTATATATCTGTCACCATTCACGAATGAGTAAGACAAGAAGTAAGACTTAAACAATCTCAAATTTTAAATTGGCAAATATATCACCTGCTATTGTTATCGTTTGTAATCAAATGCCGATATCGGTTATATTAATTTAGATTTACGTAATCGCCATATGTTATACCTATAGTTTAATCTACGTAAATTTTTTTCATACCAGTGATTTAAGAGTTAATATAATTAAGAAATTTAAAGTTCTAGTAATGCTAAAATGTCAAAACTACTCTAAAGCTTTAGTCTGACATCGGCGTCATTTTTACAAACGCTCTTTTACTAACGATATTATATATCTCTGGTTATTGAACTGACTTTAGAAGCACCTGTGCTATCGCTTTATATCGGAGACTAGACAGTTCCGTCTAGACGGACACAATAGATCGCAACTCGTGTATCACCGCCCCAGACATGTGACTTTTATTTGTGCTAAAGATCGAATTTTAAAAATCACCGACAAAAGATTATTGATGAATTATGTTTAAAATTCAAGAAATAAAGCTTCTATTTATTAATTATAATAGCACGATATAGCTAAAACACTTATTTAAAACTATTTGTAGTGTATTATTAAATAGGTGCTTAGATACAGAAAGTGATTTGTGCTGTTAGTGCTCTAATACGGGGCAGAAATCTGAACTTTTAATTAGGCAATGGAAAGAAAAATAATGCATTTGAGTTGTGGTTGTACAGGAAAATGTTGCAAATACCCTGGACAGTTAAAACTACTAACGTAAAAATTATAATCCCTGTAAAGTAAAGAAAGATATTATAAGATATTCAGGAAAGGTAGTAAAAGATATTAAATGATAATAAAAGGAAAAATAGACGGGAAACGGGAAAAAGGAAGAAAGGGGATCAACTGACTTGACAATATAAAAAGTGGACTAATATGACGCAGCCACTCTAACTAGGATGGTGAATGATAGAATGCATTTTACAAAAGTGGTCGCCGACTCCTACTTAAAATAAGTCAATACATGTTATAAAGTTTAAAAGTGCATTGCTTTAATAAATATCTCATGGTGGTAGTTATAATGTATTTATTAAATGTAAGGTCATTCTTAATTATTGTTAATTTCAGACGGTTTGAATACTGTCTTGAGAATAGTGAAATAAGACCACGACGTGCTAATAATCTGAAAAAAATATTATATATACATTAATTTATTTATTACTTAAAGTCGTTACCCCTTACTAAGATTAGATTGCAATCACATAATCATCATTTCAATCACATAAATAAAAATGTAAAAGTAAATGTTTCAGCAATTTCTAGTGGGTTTGTTGCATTTATACATTTAATGATATGTAGATTTTTTGTATTTTAATGTGTTTGTCAAGTCTTCTTTTTTGTTTCTTTGGCAATGCAATCTTTTATCTATTTATCATTCGAGAAAAGTGTGTGAAAGATTTTATCCACTGTTTAAAATTGACAACAAACAAACAAAATGGATAGTTAATAAGATGGCGCCTTCATCGGCGTGGAAAGAAATTTCAATTTGATAATACTTCAATGTCATTGCAGAACTTAATCATAGTAGATAAATTTAATTCCTATAATAGAGTATATCAAATGACGCAAATTAAATTAATTAGATTTTTATCGAATCGAAAACTATTTATCAATAGTATGATATTTTTTCTTATATTCTGATTCACACACGTATACACACGAATTCACAAAAAAATTGTGTCGTCTCGCTGAGACGAGCCATTTTATTGAATATTATAAGCTTTTTGAAATGATGATTGCTATCTTCTTCTTCCTGCCTTGTTCTCAGTCAATGTGGGTTCAGCGCAGCGTATTCTTTCCTTCCAATCTTCTCTGTCAACCGTCATCTCATCACTCATTCCCTTCACTTTCATATCATTCCTCCACAGTACATCCCTCTTTTCATCATCATCATCATCATCAGCCCTTTTACGTCCCCACTGCAGGGGCTCAGGCCTTCCTTATGGATGGTTAAGGAGAATGGGCCATGACCCTCCACGCTGGCCCAATGCGGATTGGAGGGTATTAACGACTGCAAATGCAGCCGGGACCAACGGCTTAACGTGCCTTCAGAAGCACGGAGTAGCTCTAGATATTTTTTTTATTTGATCACCCATCCCGTGACCGACCCTTGCGAAAGTTGCTTAACGACAACGATCGCGGGCTGCGGCGTTTATCCACTACGCCACCGAGCTACTACTACATCCCTCTCTTCCGAGCTCGTTATTTTGCTCTCCATCCATCGACATTCCTCTCCACATACTCCTCATAATATTTCCGTACCAGGCCAGACACTTATCGCATCCAGGCTTTATATAACTTTCGTTATATTATCATATTTTTTTAAATACATATAACTTCGAAATTTTTTTATTAACAAACATACTATTACTATTCGTAAATTTTGCCATGCGTCCATTAATACTACGTACTATTCATAGAGAGCGTACTACTTATTTACTTAAAAGTGAACTATGAACGGGATTAAAAGTCCAAAGTCTTTAGGCCAACACCAAAGTAGATCTTCTAGATAAACTTTGCTACTCTATAATATCTAAGACGGTTTGCAATGTTTGTCGAATACAAAACGATAACGATTTCGCAATATCTTGATAACTAATACGTAGACATTGCGCACTCTTTAGGGGGGACATCCTTATTGGATAATTATCGTACCATTTATTATTAAAATTGTATATTAAACAACATCACGTACATTGCTCAGATTCTAAGATGAGTAGCTAAAGCCCCCGTATTATGGAGTATCTGAGACCACAAAGATACCAAAACACCCAGACCCGAGACAATATAGAAAAGTTCATTTTCTACATTGACTTAATCGGAAAACATTGTAGTGTGCGTCTATTAGATGTACCATAGTTAGACGTGTTTCCTTTATTTAATGTTTGAAATGTTCGTGGCGATGAATCATCGCGTATTTAATTAATAATGTCGGGATTTATGTCAATAATAACTTCTCTAATGCTTGTGTCTTTCGACAAACAGATGTCCAATGTTCTGCAAAAGTTACTTGACTTCCATAATTAGTTCTAATGTGCTAAACGCTAAACTTTTGATTTCTCTTATGTCTAAAAGAAAGCTAAGCGAAATTCTGGTGCAAAATATTGTATATTTTTTACTAATCTCAAACTCACCTTCGTAAAACTTCCATAAGAAATGACAGAAAATTTATATGCAGTCAGTTTCTGATATTTATGAGATCTAAAAGAAAGATATATTGAAATCAATAATTTGATAAATATTCTATTTATGTACACTCTTCTATTGAAAGTTTCACAATAAGTATATACAATGGAGAGATCAGAATCTAGATTGTTAAACCATAAAGATGATCGAAGTAATGAAAATCCTTTGTTAACATTTTCAAGACAAATAAATTAAATTTCACGACCTAACCTATCAACGTGATAGAAAATGATTACCTTATCATAATTATAAGTATAGTTTTCTTGGCTTTCTCATCAATGTCATGCCATTTACTGAGAAAAGCTGCTTCGCCTACTCTTCTGCTCTATAAATAGATAAGATAATAGTTACTTTAATGATAAGAGATTCCGTTGCACAAACCAGACTGAATTTATTGTAAGACAACTAAGATAAAAGATATTTCATTTATTACATACCTATGATAATGACATAACATTGAAACAAACCCCAATTTAATTGAAAAATTTTCAGTCTAGTTTAGAGAGTGATAAAATATGTTTGTCTATCAGTAAAAATACATCACCTCCGTTATGATCTGTTCACCGAAAATGCTCATCATAAGTATTTGGAGTAACACGGAAACTAAAAACAGAATGTAACCGAGAAAATGGGACCAGTTGCCAATCTGAAATTTACATTAGATTTAAAATTGGGTACATCCAACTAAATAAAAGTTTGTGCACAGGGACGTCTTGATATCAATTTATGATAGTAGATATTACTAGATTTACATAGACTTATAAGCTGCATTCACATAGTGTAATATACTACATCTCTTACGTACTAGCTGGTTCTTAAAATAGATCCATATATAAAATACAGATTGCAATATATCCGCTAATATTAAAGAGCAATGGTTAAAATTCTTAATTCTTAAATTAGAGTATCACTATTTACTTTCAAATAATAATGAAAACGAATAAGCAGTTATATTACTACGATTGCTACTTCTTAATAACATTATCTGATCATAATGGTTTGAAATGAATAAAGATTAAAACTACCTATACTGCCTATTATTATGATTTGAATTTAGGTAGATATCCTATCTTATTTGATTCGATTCCACCCATAGAAATGGGTGCCCAGTAAGCTAATAATGATGAAATGGCCTAAATTTAACTCGTGTAATAGGTAGGTGTACTATAACTATGCCACACAGACAATACAATTTAATTTAGGAAGAATAAAAATACTTACTATAAAAATACTTATAAAACTAATACTAAAAAATGTGTATTGAAATAAGCGCTGTAGTTGGCTTCATCTTACTTTTTGTTATTTACTTTTAGTTGATGTAAGTAGCATATAATTATTTAAGCCTGATTTTTTTTATGTAATAATATTGCTATTAACTGTTAGCTTATCGAAAGTAAATGTATATTTACTTACATCTATTAGGTATTTACAAATATATTTTGATAAACGCTTGTAATCTTATTAACAAAAATAAAAATTCTTAATGAAAAATGCTTAAAAATCAGTTAGCTGGGCAGCTCAGTGATTAGAGTAGTCATCCAGATTGCTAAAGGTCGTGGTTCCGAATCCTACCTGAAACTGGTAGATTTTTTAAGCATTTTTTCTTTATTAATATTTTCCAGTGTAGCACTATGAATGCAAAATTGATCAAACAATAAAAAATGCTATTCTGTTTTATGTATATGAGCCACTGATAATGAACATTATACTAATGTATAATATTCTCCCTTTAATCAGCTTAAAATTAACAAATGCATCAGTGATAAATATATATGTAATATTTTACAGTTTATATAATTTATCTAGAAAAAAAACACTATCAATAAAAAATTCAATATTCATGTTAGAAGGAGCATCTTGGTGTTTAGAAACTTTAATTTTTTTTAAAGAAAATATTTTGTTAGGTTTCTTGTTGAAGAACATATTATGTATGAACACCGGATGAGAATCCCTTACGCAGCTATGAGTCGCCGTGCATCGACGTCGAGCTGACACGAGTTGCCAACGCTGCAATTTACACCACTTAAGCAATTATAATATTTTAAGCTCACTTTGTTTTCTAACACTGAAACGGTCATAAGTTATTTTTAGATGTTTAATTATTTTTATAAGTATATTTAATAAATTATTAAGTTTTTTTTCGTACTCCGGCTGCAGTAAACTTAATTGACATTTAAATACAGATACTAAAAAATATTAAAAGTCTTTCAAATTGAAACTTAATCACTAGTTAAGTAAATACCATAATTACAATTTCATTCGATTTTGGATATAACTAGATTAGATTAATCGTAAGAAAAGTAATTTATAAAATGACGTTTGTTTGAAAACCGGCTAGTTCTTATATGCGAAGTAATTAAGTTTCTTTTTTTTTATATTGAACACCTTAGACCTTTACTTTCCTCTTATTTACAACTTAATCATTCGCCTTTTAATGAATGTCTCAACTGTTTCGACACGGATCTTCCACATGGATGAAATCGAAATGAATAGCAAAAATTGACCGTGGGTCAGAAGGACCGATTGGTAAGTGTTAACGTGTACAGATCACTAGACCAGCTTAATGTCTTTCAAAATTCAAACGACCTTGATATTTTAAATGTTTGGTCACCCATCCTATGTCTGGCCGTCATGAAATTTACTTTGCTTTCACATCGTAAACTGAATTCAACGCAAGCATTTACAATAGAATAAATAGCCTTTTGTTCACTTATTACATATTTGTAAGTACTGTTGGTAGATAATAAACATGACTTACCAATAACTTACCGTGATACTAAAACCTAACGCGCATATTTCCATAGAACCAACCATGTAACTAAATAGATTTGTAAGTCTAAATATATCTTCTAGATCTTCAGAAAGTCTGAAAATTGTAAATTAAAAAAATTATAAATAATTATTGTACGAACTAACATGACACCCGAAAGCCTATTCTATTAAAAACGCATTTTTGGATAATTTATAATTTTAAATTGTTCGATAATTTACAAATATAAATTATACGATAATTTACAAATATAAAATAATAATACGATAATTTACAATTATAAATTATCCAAAAATGCGTTTTAATTTAATCTACTGAAGTAGGACCGGACACTACCTCTGATGCACAGGATAATGACCACCGCATAATGATTTTAACAAAATTATAACAATGAATTGAAATTTTCTTAATTTCCGTTCAAGGACAAACAGAACAAGCTATCAGGCGTCATGTTAATTCGTAAGAGTAGATAATTATCACAGATATTATAGCATTGGATATCATAGATATTTTTTTTAGATTAATTAATATTTACTTCAGAATGTACTGGTGTTGCTTAACAATCTGTTTCAAAACGTAGATGTCACCTTTGAATTCTTTTATTTCATTACTTATGATGTAAAAATTATTGCATATCTGTGAAGTCAATACACAGAAAAGAGCATCACTCATGGTTATGAATAGAATACAAATAAACCCTGAAAAAAATATACAAAATTATTAAAAATACATTATTTACACATTTTAATAGTACGCTTAAGTTTATTATTCATTGATAAGTTTCAGTGAAATATTTAATCATACAAGTTGCAGCTTGTAAAGGTTTCAGTAATATGAAATTGATAATATCGTTATCTTAGTTTTTAGCAGGTTGTTACTCTATTTCAAATTCGATAACCTGATATCACTGGCAGGTGATAATATACCACGTTAAATTAAAGGTCAACGTCAAAACAAATCTTTTGCAATTGGATTGATCATGTAAACTAATGAAGTGTTTAAACTAATGAAAATTTTAATGGATATTGGTGCAATTGGCTGTTATTCTGTTAAAAATAGAACGTCGTACACTACGCTCGCAGTATTAGGAGTTTAATTTAAATTAAAAATGATATGATATATAGTAACAAAAAAAAAATTTTTTTTGAGCCACTAATACTGTAACAGCACTGCGTTCCATCGAAACTTAGTTACAGAATTGCAATCAGATAGTGAAGTCGGAAGATATAAAATCCAGAAAAGAATGTATAAAAAACTTACTAACATCAAGGTATGAGAAAGAACCTCGTAGAGCTTGATTTTTTCTGCTTATTTTGTGGGGGATCCAGCGTCAAGTTATAAATAGGTATTTAAGTTATTAATATTGTAAACATGCACTTGCAAAACAGTAGAAATAAAAACCTTTCACTACTTACTTATTTTACTTACATAATTCAAGATATTTTACTTACCACTGAATACAAGTTGTATATAAGAAACTATCCAAGCAGGCCAATTATCAATTGCAAACGGGAATATGACGGCGTAAGGTACCATGAACTTGACGTATCCATGTTGCAAATAATGATAGAGCATAAAAACTATAGTCGAGAAATTATAGACTGTAATAAGAGCTGTGTTTAATAAAAAGTAATATCTAACGAGTCTATTCACTTTCATTATTTCACGTCTCAGGAGTTTCCTTTTGCATTCATTATTAAAAATAACATCATACAACGCCTTCAAAGAATATTTCAGTTTAATTATCTTTTTCAATTTCCACGCTAGAAATATTCCTTTGAAAAAGGATAATGCGCCTATAAAGAAACAAGGTGCCAAATCGATAAGCTCGAGAATATTTTCAGTCGATATCTTTGATGAAATAAACACTGTTTCACCCGCCACTGTTATAAATAGACTTAAAGTTGAAATGTAGAATCTAAATCTTTTACGTGGTGTGTCGAGAGGAATGCCGACTAACCAAAATATGTTATCGATTCCGTTAAAAATCTTATCAAATGATGGCAGATCCATGATTTGGTGTCTTGTACACTTTGGGTCTTTTGTTGTGTCTATATGCTCGTTCGATGTTCAACTGTAATCGTGTAATTGGTGATAGTTTGTATAATTTGAATCGTTTACAGTAAAGGGTTATCAGTTGTAAGATATATCGTTAGCATCCGTCTTTGTATTTCACACTGATAAGAATTTACTATATGATATAGTTTATGTTGCCAATAATGTAAAAAATATAATAAAATACTAGTACATACCTTTCTTCAAACAATTTTTTATACATTTTTAATGATACAGGCGTTCCTCAGGGTGGCGTCTTATTTCCACTGCTTTTTTCTATCTTTATAAATTCTATCACTCGGTCATTATCATGTTCTTATCACCTGTACGCTGACGATCTCCAGATTTATACCCAGGCACCGCTATCTGACCTTTCAAGGGCAGTTTCGGTTACCAATTCTGACTTATCACTAAGGGGACGTCCATAAATTACGTGAGGTGTTTTTTCAAATTTTCTGACCCTCCCTCCCCCCCTGGTGAGATGTCGTGAGATTTTATTCAATCCACTCCCCCATCCCCAAATCTCACGTGAGATTTTTCAAAATGTGGGTTTCTTATTTAAACACGTTGGATTTTTTTTATAAAAAGAAAAAAAAATAATTCGCTTCGTACTTTTATTTACGACTAGTTAGAGACTAGTAATCAATATTGCTCTCATTCATCGAGTCACACGTTCAGCTGAAAACAAAGGACGGGCTACATTGTACCGTAAATTCAAATTAAATTGAGCTATTTGGTATAAAACGAGTACCTATAGTGGTTTGACAATCAGGAGTGATGTATAATGTCAAAGTACGAATGAAATTATTTTCTTTCCAACGAATTAGTGAATGATCTTAATCTTAGATTTGTCTCTCTATGAGGGATTCCCCGCACCGAGCCTTATTTTAAAAATTGCGTGATATTTGCCGAGA